AATATAACTGCTTGCTTAATTATTTATACATGTATATTCCTGTTCAAGTACCATATAGCATGTATATTATAATATTTGTTTATAAAATGATATTGACCCTACCCTATAACTATAGAGCTTACTGATAGTTTTAAACGGATGCCTTGTAATGTCCCGAACGTTTAAATCACAACGGTCAGTTTTATGTTTGCATTTTGAAAATAATGCTACATAATGTTTTGTTAAACGATATGCGAAACTGCGGAATCCTAAATTTGAGTTAATGTAATGCCTTCCGCATGTAAATTCTGAGTTGTTGCAGTATTGCCTGTGTTACATTTTGTTTTTTTATAACTTATGATAAAGGCATTAATACCACAGGATAGAAACCAGATTATTCAATATATTGCTGGACGGCCGTCTTTTTATTTCATTGTCTTAACCCATTACCAGATATTTACACCTTTCTATGCCTTATTCACCCCCTTTTTTGCTTTCTCAAATGGTGAAAAATGCCTTATTTAGACCCCCAAATCTGGTTTTTGTTTGAAAAATGTTGTTTAAAAAGTGACCACTTTTCCGGCTCCGTCCCCCATCCAAACGATTTATCAGGGGTTGCCAGAAGGGATTTGTGCTCCCTTCTGTTTGGGGGATTTGAAGGGGGGCGGTAGTCCCCCTCATCGCCAAGAAAAGTTTGGACCTTTGAGAGGCTAAAATGACCCCAGGTCGATCATAAGGTAACGTGTAACCAACGCTGAAAAGCTTTAAAATGGCTGAGGAACAAGCTATTAAAGGGAAAAAAGTTCTTATTTCTATCTTATGGTCAGCTTAAAAAAACATGTATATTTTAATATACTTGATACTTAAATAGTTTCAATATTACGCTATGGATCAGAATTAAGGGGGTCAATTGAACATAAAAGTATAGAAACCGTACATAATTATGCATGTAAAGATACATGTGTGTTAAACAATCAACTGCAAATGCATCAGTTTTAGGAGATTGAGGCCGTTTTCTATTGTACATAACAACTGCACAAGAGTTTTAGTATATTGGTTTAAGATATTAAGTTTACCCAATGATCGATATGTGAAGCAATGTTATAATATGCTAATTTTATATGATAAGAATGGAATGAAAAATTGGGCTACTAACATTGAACAACTACTACTATATACAAATGGTTTTGGATATGTTTGGAATAACCAGGGAGTTGATTCCTAAAAATATTTACAGATAGAATGAGAGATCACTATAGGCAGAACTGGCAAGAAAAATTAAATCAAAGTAAATAGTTAGATTCATATCGTTTGTATAAATCTGAATTTATCCATGAGACACATTTATCTGTTGTTTTAATTCGTAAATTTAGAAATGCACTTGCTAAATTACGTACTTCATCACATTATGTGAATATTGAAAGAGGTAGATAAGTGAGATCTGAGCGTATATGTAATTTATGTAAAGTTTCAGTAGAAACAGAATATCATTTTGTAATGGTATGTACAGCTTATGAAAATTTAAGATCAAAATACTTACCAAGCAAATATTTTGTTAATCCTAATATTCATAAATTTAATATCTTAATGGGTTGTCAGGCTGAAAATATTATAGATAATTTGCCAAAGTTTGTGTTCCATGCCTTTGAAGAAACAAAAAAAATTATTATGTGTTAGAATATGAATAAACATGATTAACACCACTAGATAGTAACACGATTTTGTTTAAACATAATGATAAGCCCGTACTATATTCCATTGTATAAAATTGTATTGCTATGTATATGTTGTTTTGGGCTAAAGCCTTGAATCAATAATAGTGATTTTTGGCAATTTTGAGATGGCCCCTTGTTGCCATGGTAACAGGAAAGTTAAGACTGAGCATGCTGTTACAAAGGCATTGTTTAAGTCAACATTTGTGCAAAGTTTGATTATTATTGAAGCAGTTTTCATAGTTTTATGGCAACTTGAACTTGTAACGGGAGACTTTTCAATGAAAACATCCATTTTTCACAAAATGCTCATGCGGTTATGGGTTAAGAAAAGAGTGTTTACTCACTCAAATTAGGTTAACCTTTAAAGCTGTTTGAAAGAAAAATATTCAGTTAACTTGCCAGATATTGGAGCTTCAGATGTATTTCTTATGAAACTAATAATATAACGTAATCTTGATCTTCATAATACATACTTTTCGCGATCCCATGCAATCAAAATTGATGGACTAAGACACTGTTTAAATGTGGACAATGTTGATTTTTTTTCCAAATTGGTCATGTTACAACATTGAAATGTTTTTGTCAGATTTATCATCCTCTGTACTAGAATAAAATTGATTCTATAATTAACATTCAAAGCACATATCTTTGCAACATAAAATATCAAGAGTACAATCAACTTAACAAAAATGCATTGCATAACATCTAATGAGGAATTACACATTTATAAGCTATAACTAACAGCGGATGAAAACTGAACCAAAATTATCTCGTAAATGAACTCACCCTTTTTTGATTATGAGATAATGTATAGCCTAAATTTCACCAGTGATTTCACCAGTATAATACAGATATTCTTCTAGAAATGTATTACATTGTCAAATGAATGTTTAATAAACTTTGAAATTCTAAATAAAATAAGGGAGTGTTGACATAATGGTCCAGATCTCTGCCTCTCAATCGAGGAATAGTGGGCTCAAGCTCGTCCATGTTGATTGTTGAACACAGATTATTTGTGAATGATTTATTATTAAGTTGATTAACCCTAAAATGAGTCCTATATTTGACAATTTATCAATCACCTAAGCAAGAGGCACTTCGAACCATTTCATAAAATAATCAATGCAGTGTGCAATGATGGGCCGTACACAAGTCATTGCTATGAATTACAAATTATTAGGTTTAATCAAAATATAACTTTCAATTAACTTAGCATTGTTTTCCCAGCAAATATTTTAACAAAATGGCGGGCGCACATGTGTGTACATTTGGAATACTTCTATTTGATCCATACATATACTTTGATTGTCAATAATTAGTTAGCAGTTGGCAGTGAGCAGCAGGCTGTACAGTTAGCAGTAGGTAGTGAGCAGTAGGCTGTCGTTTATGGAATTCCGTACAATTGATATGTAAACAGACGATGCTGACCTGTGAGAGATCGATTGTCGTAACCGATAAATGTATTGCGTAAAATGTAAAAACAAATGGTTGCTCAGTGCTCACTAACGTTCGCTTTCTACATTCTTTTACTTAATCGACAGTCCGTTCATAACGATTGTTAAGCAGCATTAAACAGATTTAGTTTCCTTTGACTTGAAAAGCTATATAACTGACCAGACACTTTAATCTTAAAATAGACCATACGATGCTTTTCTTATGCAATAAAAAAGACTCGTCCAATTTGAAGGTAGAGCATTATATATTTACAGAAAACGAAGAAATAATTGAAAGACGCAAAATGGCATTTCTATTCTTTGTGTGATGAGTAATAAACATATTTGCCTTTTTTTCTAAACTTTGCTTCTTTTGTTCAATGATCACAATTATACTGTTTTCTGTCGCCTACTGCTTGTAACTGTGTTTACCTCTAAACTAAAATTTAAACGTCCTGATATCAAAATGGCGCTGTCCAAAGAACAAAATGGCGCGCTCTATATACATTCGGAATGCTTTTGATTTCTTGGTGAAGTTTTCTTGATCACGTCTCAGGAAGTTTCATCAAACTTAGTTCTTCCTTCTTATGAGGAGGAATAATAATCTTTATTGAAATAATGAAGCATTAAAAATAGTTTATTCTTTTAAATATATTGATTTAACGGGTTTTTTTTAATGGAAATTGGTATGATTACAGAAAAATATGGCGAAGCATGCTGGTTATGCGCTACACAATATCTTACCAATATCAATAAAGTTACACGGAATGTCTATATACCAGAAATGAAAGGTGTTTGATCCATAGGTATCTTCCATCTTACATTTCGGATCGGAAATATGGGGTATGCTAGAACTTGCTAGAAAACCTTTGTCCGTTATTCGTAAGTTTTATCTGATTAAATACTGGGTGAAAATATTATATCAAGATGAGTCGCCATTTTAGAAAAAGGTTTACATTTTGTTGAAAACTGCTTTCGAGCTAGGTAATGTTTACGGGGGTAACTAGGCGTTTCAATAAAGAGTATTTGCAATACCATGGGTTTCTCTATGTGTGGTTGCAACAATCCGATATATACAATGTACATTAAAATACCCTTTTCAGAGATTACACAACAAATAATTGATAATTTTCTTCAAACATGGTATTCAGAGGTGAAATGCTAGACGTTTAGAAACATATAGTTTGTTCAAACATGTTTTCGAAAGAGAACGGTATTTGGAAGTTATAACTGACCAAAGGTTTAAAAATGTTTTTGCCCGCTTCAGAACTTACACTTTTTTGATTATGAAATAATGTTAGCCTAAATTTCACCAGTGATTTCACCAGTATAATACAGATATTCTTCTAGAAATGTATTACATTGTCAAATGAAAGTTTAATAAACTTTGAAATTCTAAATAAAATAAGGCAGTGTTGACATAATGGTCCAGATCTCCGCCTCTCAATCGAGGAATAGTGGGCTCAAGCCCGTCCATTGTTGATCGTATATTGTTTGTTTTATTATTTCTTATTTTGAAAATGAAAGAGTGTGCCAACAGTAAAATCATGACTGTTGCTTCTTTTAAACCTCACTGAATGCATAAGAATATGTAATGAACCTAAAACAGGTCTTTGTATACCCTTAGAGCCTTTAATGCTTTCATAATTTATGTAAACATATCAAAAGAAATATATTGACACTTCAAAATAATGGCCATATAGCGTTCTGGATATGTTGAACAAGAAAAAGATAATGCTAATTTACATTAATAGATTTTTTTCACCAATAATACAGTTGTGTTATATACAAATGACTTCAAAATTATTTAATCACATTATGATTCTCTCCGTGGATAAACTTGTATGTTTGAATGTATGTTTACTTTGCAGACTCACCTCGTTATGTGGAAAGAACAGACTTTTATTATTCATTTGGATGATGATGCCGTGCCTGATTATCATCGCTTATAAAAAAGGTACACATAAAATATACTCATATATGTAATAGTTATACAGTACATGAAACGAGTTAGTTACGATGATATAACTCTGACTGGGCCAGTGTTATACCCCCGTAACTAACGAGTTTCATATACTATAACTGTTTTATCGCAATGACATAATGTTTTCTTTTTTTAATAGAAACAAATAAATAAATCGTTAGCTACATTACATTATTTATGATAAGGCAGTTTTTTCAAGCTGTTTTCGCTGCCGCAAAAAAATATTCAAAAGACATCCAATATAAGAGGCGGATTGTATACTGTTACCAAGATTGATTCAAGATTAAGTGGAAATAATTCATTCAGCGGATGTACCTTTTGATTAAATGAGAGTAAATTTCATTTCATTAATTATCTTTGTTCATATTTTTCATTGTATTTATATATTTATTTTATTTTATTGATTTCATTTTTTATTCTATTTTTTTCTTTGCTACTGGGAATGGTCGTTACCACTGCCCCATTGGAGCCTCTATGAAAAAACTGTATTGATGTATACAAGGTGCGAACAAAACTCGACCGATATATAACAGTCGAGTTTTTTTCCTATATGAATCAATGAAAAAACTGTACTGTTATATATCAATACATTTTTGAAATGCTCATTGAAATGTACTGACTATTGTATAGTATATATTTGAATAGTACAAATTGTACGATGATGTACCTCGTAAAAATCTTGAATAAAATTTCAGTTCTGTTCTGTTTAATGGGTTAGTAAGAACAAAGGAAAAGTTCCAAACCATGCGATAAGACAATTAAGAGCCAGTTTTAGAGCTAGTTAATATCATATTATACAAATATCGTATCGGTCAAAATTGTTCACAGTACATGCCACATCATATTCACCATCTAAAAAGTCCACATTTTTTTATTATATAATGTTTTATCACTCTTATATGGGTTATTAAGTCGGCCATTAAATACGACGGAAGTCGACATTTTTCAGCTTGTCTTCTTTTTCCATAATTTGAATCTATATTTTAATGCTCATTGGCACGTTAATTCTTAATGTTCTTAAAAATGTAAAGACCGTTACTTAATACACTAATTTGACTTTTTAAAAAAATTTTACAAAAAGATATTTCTAAGACAATCAGAGAAACACATTTCAAAAAGTTTTTTTTATAGATTATACAATAAAAACAAATATTTTAATTAATTACAAAGCAGACCCTAGTCCTGATTTTATAAGGAAAATAAACACATAAAACAACCACCCTTGTGTGTGCGTGCGTGCGTGCGTGCGTGTATGTGTGAGAGACTTAGAAATGTTAGCTTTTCACAATTTGGTTATGTTTCTTGCAGATATTTTTTTAAGTGTATCAATTATTCTCAGGCAACGAAATCGCGTTGTCTATGAACTAAAAATCATATTTTTGTGTTTTTTTCGTATGTTATAATTCCTTCTGGAGATGAAATTACTTGTTTTCATATCTCCTTTCAGGCGTGAATGACACGTTAGCTTTCGGTGTTCAACTTGTGCGTCCATCAGTCATGTCAGTAAAACAGAAAGAGGTAGATTATGTGTTAATAATTCAACATTGTGTAATTTTATGTTGTAATGTAATTCATTTCATCAAGCGAATTTCTAGAATAAGACACTGATCTGCATTTACCATTATATACATGTATTATATTATAAATTGATTCATCATAAATTATTTCAGTTAATTTAGACTTCAGTTTTTCTATGAGCTTTTCTTACTACATAAAACTGTGATTAGTTTCAAATGATGAATTTGTAAATATTTTCGATATTTATTTTAATGCACGTATATCACATGCACAAAAACGACTAAACAGAAAAAAACCTTGTATAACACTTGAATGATGTTGTCGGCATTACACAAATTACATTACGGCTGTATATTTTGCTTAAAGAGAATATATCTCTCTTTCATTCGGCCCCTTCTGCAATACTCGGATGTTGTTTGGGACAACATAACTTAACAAGATAAAAAATTTGAACTTAAAAAAATACAACTTGAAGCCTGAAGAATAATAACCGGTACAACAAAACTAGTTTCTATCTCTAATCTTTAAAGACACTTCAATCTAACCCCCTAGAGTAAGACGCTACAAACACAAACAAATTCTTCTTCATTAAACGTTCAATAATCTTTCTCCTCATTACCTCTCTTCTTTAGTTCCCGATACAGTAGGATAATCTTCAGATTATAACTTACGAAATGCAGACAACACTTGAAATATATTTTGTCACACACAACTTTATTCTCATTCATTTTTGCCATCATCAATTAAATACTGGAACAATCTTCCTGATAATTACAGAAATTCACCATCCATTTCAATTTTCAAAAGAAGACTTAATGAAGATGTCCAAAGTGTGCCTTCTCATTATTATGAAGGTGAGAGAAAACACCAGATTATACACACAAGACTTAGAACACATCGTAGTTCTCTCAAAGAACATTTATATTGTGAATATGGCGACATAGAAAACACATCTCATTATTTCTTCTCGTGTCCAAGGTACCAAGATGAACGAAATGTCCTCCTTAACAATTTAAGTGAAAAAACAACTGTCACACTTAACGTTTTACTCTATGGTGATAATTCAATTGCTGACGATTTAAATGAAGCAATAGTCCTTCATATACACTCATATTAACACAGAACAAAACGTTTTGAAATGTAATAGAAAGTTATTATTTCGACTAATATGAAATAGAGATTTAGATGCATAATATCTTCTCAAAAGTATATTATAAACTCGTTCCATCAAGTCCATAGTATTATAGTGACCATTTCCTGTTGTCTTTCTATTTCTTTCTCTCAAATCTGTCTCTTATTTCCTACCTTCTATTACGCAACAATTTCAACAATTAACTTACATTTCCATATCTTTATTTTTCTTTATATTTTTTAAACATGTTTAAAAGTTCTATTAGTTTTCTTGGTAAGTTTAAACGTGCTAATTTGTGCATTTATCACTTACGTGTATTTATGCTATAGAGCTATAGGGTTTTCCTTCACATTTATTTTTTCTATATTTTATTATTATCAAGGTCGTTTCGATTAGGAAAACAAAGTGCAAATTGCTAACGTTCTTGTACATGTAAAGACGCAAGTTTATAGTGAACATGTTATGTATATTTAACACAAAAATGCATATGATTGTTAGCATTTTACATACTCTTTGAGATAGTGATTACGGAAAGAGTTTCTTAAAAAGCTGTTCAAGCTTCCTACTCAATACGTACTATTTATTATTTGTAAATTATCATGTTAATGTAACACTTATAAATAAAATATTGTTTAAACTAAAGAGAATAGATATATAATGGAAGCAATGTAATATATGTATACTAAATAATAACTTTGAAAGTATTTAGTTTCAGACGTAAAAACAATAATTATATGTAGATGTTGTTGGCAAGTGTAAGAAACATGATCCGATATATTTTATTTTTTATCACATTAAAGGCCCGTTTATTTTATTTCAAAAAAAAAGAAAAGAATATGAACATGAAAAGAATACAAACATGATAACTATAGCATTTACATTGATACGTAGATAATTAAAAAATAAATATATTTATGATGTTTAACTGATCCGATATTACATATGTTCATTTATAACATAAACCGCGGCGCAGGAGTGTAATAAAGCCATTTAATACAAACGATATTACACTAAAGTGTAATAACACTTTGACGTGACGTCATTTGCGCTATATAGAAACATAGCGTTAAAGCGCGCTAATGTTAGCGTTACACTATAGGCGCGTCACTGAAAAATCACTCATTTTAACAGTTTACTGTTCATACTTTACATATGAGATAAATAGAATATTATATTCGTGTAGATTCAATACTAAATTTAATGAACTCGTTGAATAAAACAATATTATGCTCGCCAGAGGCTCGCAGAATATGATTTTATTCAACTCGTTCAATAAATTTAGTATTAAACTACACTCATTAAATATCCTCTATATAGCAGATAAGAAAATGTTCTAGAACAAAATACAATTTTTTCATCATATAAATGTTCATACTAAATCATTTAGAAATTTTTCAATATTTGTTTCGACCAAAATATTAAAAGAATATCCAAATTACACATTTCTATTGTTTTTTTTAAACCAATACAGGTATTTGAAATTCTTATTCTTAGTGTATACCAGTCCACTATATAGGCACATTATGCTGCAGAAACGAATAATTTTGTCCATCTTTAGGTAGGGCAAACATGAGATTTATGATGTGGTTTTAGAACATAAATGATTATTACCTGAAGAAAGAGGAGCACTGAATGTGACAGTATTTATCATAAATGTGGCAAAATGTAAACAAAGTAGTAATTTGACGTCTTTACAAACTACTAAATCACTATTACTGTACTTATTATCAGAAAGCAAAGGAAGCAAAATATGATTCTGGTGATTGGTGAAAGAGTAACCTTTGGAAACTTTAACAGGACCCCAGATATATAATATTAAAAGCTTCTGAGATATAAAATAGAAGAATTTTTTAAGCAGAATGGGCCTTTACATTATGTAATATAAATTTGTTTATTTTTTGTTATGGGTGTATATAGTAAATATACAAAATAATCATCTCTCAGTTGAAAGAAATTTCTGATTTAAAATACCCCATGTTTTTTTTTAATATGCTTTCATTGTTTTTCATTTTCTTTCGTTTGTCGTGCATTTATTTTCAATGAACTGTGTATGTTTTTGTTATCATATAAACATGTTGTAACAAACAACAACATTTTCAGGTTGTTCATACAGTTGAATACATTCTTGATCAAAGAAGACAAAGGGTGCAAAGCGTTTGTGCACGTATAGGTATTGTGTCAAATAAGACGTCAGAACTATCTGGTGTACCGTCAGCAAATTTGTCATATTGTGCTGTGCAAAAAGCCGGATGTACTATGTGGATAAGATTATTCAAGTTTATGGCAGGACAAAAAAGGGAAACAGGAAATCCAATGACATTGACAAAAGATTTGATACATAACCACGCTCCAAACTTCTATAAGACATTCCGGCGTACTGGCAACGAGGATAGATTAGCACATTCCGTTCGGACAATGACTGTTAGGAACCCATACACACGATTATGGTCCGCTTATATTGATAAGTTCTTACTACCGGATTTTTGGTTTTCTAAAGGACTGCACATTATAAGAATGGTACGCAAAAATCCTCAGATATTTTCAAAAAAATGTGGACATGACGTTACATTTCCAGAATTCATAGAATATGTGATCACCATAGGACATAAGTTTGACTACTGGAATCAGGACAAACATTGGTTACCTGCAAGTGATATATGTGATCCATGTGTATTTAAGCCCAGTATAATTGGGAAACAGGAAACATTCTTGCAAGATTTGAAGTACACCCTTTAAACCGTTCGACTAGATTATCTTTTACCTAATATAACATCGATAGATCATATCGAATATGAAATTAAAGATGCAATTGACTACAACTTCAAAATATTTCCAAGGGTAAAGAACTGTATAGATACTTACGAATTGTGCAAAAGAATTTGGACAGCGTTTATCTTGAACGGTTATCTGCCATCAGAAGAACCTTTCCCGACCAATATTTATCACGACAGTTTGAACTCGGACTCTTTTTATGAACTTGTTAAAAGCGTACGATCAAAGTATAACACTACACACGCCAATACAAAAGAAAGGCGTAAACATGCTCTTATAACTGCATATAAACAGATTAATGGAACCAAGATGAATGAGTTAAAGAAGCTCTATAAGATGGACTTTGAACTATTTGATTATAAATCGGAGCTGGAAATAATGTAAGAATGAAATGATGTAAGGATAAGTTTTGAAGTTTTGATATCAAATCAGAGATGTACAACATTGGTAACAATATATAATAGAAGTACAATATCAATGCAATATTAGTTCAAATGATCCCAAGTTAAAAGAAGTAGTGGATATATCATATCACATGACTGAGGTCAGATGTGACTTCAATTCATTTTTCTATAGTTTTCATTTTATCAATGTCTTATAATTTTCTATTTACAAAAATTATTATATAAAATTCGTATTGTTAAGCAATATTGACCCGAGACTGATTAATTTTCGGGAGCTTTTTCGTTAGTTTCCGTAATTTATTACGATTTACCGATTGATTTTTAATGATAACATAGTTATCGAAACATTAAATCATACTTACGATCCGATGGCATAGTGGTTAGTATGATGCCTTAACAGTCGCGCCGTTGCAAGCTCACGTCAACATTTTTCAGATTTATTAAACTTATTTTTTTTTTGAAATATAAACAACATTAATAATTTGTTTAATTTCTGGCGTCCTTTATTAAATTTCATGACTTGATACTCTATTCATTACTCTAATACATAAAGTCGGACAATGGGTGATTGGCATGCCCAAAAACAGAGTAGTTGAGTTTTGCAAACTATAAAAAAGGAAAAAGAAAAAATGTTTGATCGAGAGTCGAACCTACAACCTTCAATCTGAACTCTTTGTAAATGAGGCCAGTTAGGCATGTGTTGCGTTAATAACTTAAATTCATACATAAACCATGCACACCGTTATGCCATACTTTAATATCCATAAAATTGGCCCGTATTCAGAATCGATACTTACACTCACACTCATTGAGTAAATCCATTATAATTGCCTAACGGTCAAGATTGTCCTCAACCATTCAGTAAAGTGGTAATCAGATTATAAAGTAAGTGTCGAGTGAACTCAGGAAAGTTGAGAATCTGTGAGATTAGGAGGGGGCTATCTTGAGGTGTCCTCAATTAAATAATACAGAATACCACTTAGTTTTGAGTACTGATTTTGAATTAAACTCGTCACATATACATTTAAGTGCATCATATACGCGACCTGACAGTATTTGTAACTTTAATATTAACTTTACATGTATAATGTTTGACCGCTTCAGTCATCAGGATCCGGTTGTTCAAAACATTGGTTAGTGTTAACCAGTGGTTAAATTCATTATCCGCTGGTTAAATTTTGTCTGTTGGATAAATTCTGTTGCTCAAAACTTATCCAACGGATAAAATGCCTTATCCAGTGGTTAACTTTAACCAGTCCTATGACCACCGGATAATGCCCTTAACCAATGGTTAACCATCATCATTAAAACAGTCTAAACCATAAAAACTTGTTTGAAACCAGATTTTTCTTACAAATATATGTTTATTTTGTCTTAACTAGAACATTTCATATGAAATGCATATGATTAAATTGAAACATTTCTGAAAAAGTGCTTTTAGAACCCTTTTTCAACCTGAATTTGTTGTTGTTGTAGTTCAGAAAATTCAGTTAAACAGTCATAACTTTCTTATTTTTTAATAAAACATACAAGTGTCAGTACTCATTTTCTTAGTTAGAACATTACCCATCTAATGGAAGTAATTTCAATTTAAAATTTGGAAAAAAAATATTTTTGAATTTTTTACCTATGTGTGTCTAAGGGAAAAATAGATCTATCGATACTTTAAGGCCTTTGATATACTTTTGCTTTATTCCAAAAACATGAAAGCACAAAACATTCAAAATTAAGTCTTTTGGAGCTTTTTGATTCTAATAAATTTATTATTCATCAAAAAAATCGGCCATTTTGTTTCCAAAATCACTAACCAACCCTGTTGCATTGTGGTACTTAACCAGTGGATAAATACGCTATCCACTGGTTAGGTAGCCAGGGTACTATCCAATTGTCGAACAACGAATTTTTATCTACTGGATAGCTGACCGCTGGTTAAGGATTTAACCAGTGGATAGGCTATCCAATGGTTAATTTTAACCAATGTTTTGAACAACCCGGTCCTGATATTCAAGCATCACACTCAAACAGTGTATGATTATACCCTTTGCAAAAAGGGGGCTATAGTTCAGAACTGTTACAAGATACCAAGAATTGTAAAAAATTTGAGAAATAAAATAAAATAAAATAAAATTCTGCGGCATAATGGGCCTTAAAATGTCATAAGATGATTAAGAAAAGAAAACAACAGTGTGTATTGAAAATGCTTTTCATTAACATAAAAACATAAAAATCGATGCTACTTTCAAAATTAAGTTTACGCTATTTTTTTAATAATAATGTATATATATTGTATATCGCTATAATGTTGTTTTTTTAGCTCACATGAGCATGCTCAGGGTGAGCTTTTAGGATCGATGATTGTCCGTCGTCCGTCGTCCGTCGTCCGTCCGTCCGTTCACATTTTGTTGTTAACACTCTAGCGGTCGCATTTTTGCCTCAATCATCATCAAACTTGGTCAGGATGCTTATCTAGTTGATAGCTCGGATGAGTTCGAACATGGGTCATCTCGGATGAAAAACTAGGTCACAAGAGCTAAAAATAGAAAAACCTTGTTAACACTCTAGAGGTCACATTTTTGCCTCAATCATCATCAAACTTGGTCAGGATGTTTGTCTAGGTGATAGCTCGGATGAGTTCGAACATGGGTAATCTCAGATGAAAAAGTAGGTCACCAGAGCTAAAAATAGAAAAACCTTGTTAACACTCTAGCGGTCGCATTTTTTGCCTCAATCATCATCAAACTTGGTCAGGATGCTTATCTAGTTGATAGCTCGGATGAGTTCGAACATGGGTCATCTCGGATGAAAAACTAGGTCACAAGAGCTAAAAATAGAAAAACCTTGTTAACACTCTAGAGGTCACATTTTTGCCTCAATCATCATCAAACTTGGTCAGGATGCTTGTCTAGGTGATAGCTCGGATGAGTTTGAACATGGGTCATCTCGGATGAAAAAGTAGGTCACAGGAGCTAGAAATAGAAAAACCTTGTTAACACTCTAGCGGTCACATTTTGGCATCAATCATCATCAAACTTAGTCAGGATGCTTGTCTAGGTGATAGCTCGGATGAGTTCGAATATGAGTCATTTCTGATGAAAAATTAGGTCACAAGAGCTAAAAATAGAAAAACCTTGTTAACACTCTAGAGGTCACATTTTTGCATCAATCATCATCAAACTTGGTCAGGATGCTTGTCTAGGTGATAGCTTGGATGAGTTCGAACATGGGTCATACCGGATGAAAAAGTAGGTCACCGGAGCTAAAAATAGAAAAACTTTGTTAACACACTGGCGGTCACATTTTTGTCTCAATCATCATGAAACTTGGTCAGGATGCTTGTCTAGGTGATAGCTTGCATGACTTCGAACATGGGTCATCTCAGATGAAAAACTAGGTCACCGGAGCTAAAAATAGAAAAACCTTGTTAACACTCCAGCGGTCACATTTTTGCCTCAATCATCATCAAACTTGGTCAGGATGATTATCTATTTGATAGCTCGGATGACTTCGAACATTTGTCATCTCGGATGAAAAACTAGGTCACAAGAGCTAAAAATAGAAAAACCTTGTTAACACTCTAGCGGTCACAATTTTACCTCAATCATCATCAAACTTGGTCAAGATGTTTGTCTAGTTGATAGCTTGGATGAGTTCGAACATTGGTCATCTCGAATGAAAAACTAGGTCACTGGAGCTAAAAATAGAAAAATCTTGTTAACACTCTAGTGGCTACTGTTTTGATCCAAATATCCTGTAAATTGGTCTGAAAGTTTGTTTTGATGATTTCTAGGTCAAGTTTGAATATAGGTCACCTGGGTAAAAAACTAGGTCACACTGCTCAAATATGGATAATCCTTGTTAACACTGTCGTGGTCACATTTTTGACTCACCTGTCATGAGACGTGGTCAGAATGCTTGTCTAGGTAATTGTTTGGATGAGTTTGATGGGTCAGGTGAGCGATCTAGGGCCATCATGGCCCTCTTGTTTTCAGTTCTGAAAGGCTTACAGAGGCCTTTCACTACTTTCTTTAGCTTCCTTTTTTAGTCCTGTCTTTCAGGCTTCCCAACATTGTTTGGCTTTTGTGACATTTACTACTTGAAAACTATTTAATTATCTTTAAATTTCTCCCTTTATCGAACAGAGATTTAAAATAATTTCTATGTGGTTTTCTTTTACATTAAGATTTTAAATAATTAATTATTTTAACTTTTCTCCAACTTCGGTGAAATAAATGTACACTCTTTGACACGACATGTAACACTTTTACAATGTATATGGAGTGATAGTATGCAATAAAACCGATCGGTCAATTTTTTAAGTCTCCCTTACGAGAGGTTAGTTTGAGTAAACAAAACGAATACCACAATGCACATCCAGCGTTACTTGAGGTGACCTTTCGTGTGTTTGAATCGAAATTGAGATAAAGTATCGTTTCTGATTACGTGCCATTTACTTCGGAATACGATAATTACCGACAAAAGGTGGTCATTGAATATTCAAATGTCTCGGGTTAATATTGCCAAATAATATAGAAAGATTAAGAGATATTTCTTTGTATGGGCAAGTATGTTTAACCTTATAGAGATGTTGAATTGTGATAAATTTGACTATAAAGGGCAATGAAACAAATGTGTTCTATAATCTATGAAGATGATCAACTGAGGCAAGTAATGGGAACCGAGGCGTTACCTAACAGATCAATAATTACGATAGACATCTCTCATGTTGGTACGAGATAAAAAATTTATCAATAACAGTTATTTGACCCCATAGGTTATGCACGGACAAGGATCTACGACAAAAGTATGACCTCTCCATTATTTCATGGATCGTCGAGGGCCCGACACATGTATTAAGGACGATGATTTCTTAATTTTGTTGCTAACTTTGACATAATTATCTTATGCGAAACTTGACAAAAATGATAATGAGATGTACGAAATATATTATAACAGTATCAGTATCGTATAGTGTTTAAAGTCCAAAAGTGGTGATGTTGGAATGTGCATTTTTTTACTTTTACAAAAAAGAAAAAGAAATAATAATAATAATAAAAATAAAGTTGTTTTTATGATAAAATTGTATGGGATGAAAGTAAAAATGCT